CCCCATAGCAGCATCAGACTGCATCTGGTTTCACCGCCCTCCGCTTCCGAAGGGAGCGGGGAGCTCCAGGCGGTTTTCTCTTTCTCCATTCCTTGTGCTCCAAATGAAGGAGACTGCCAAGACTGGAAGAGGGTTTACTTCAGTTTGTACAAAGGAGGTGGTGTGAGCTCTCTTTTGTGACCAGCATTCAAAGATCACTCAGGCTGGTGTGATCTATAAAATAAATTTTAAAAAAGTTTGTTCCAAGTTAAAGTATGTCTTGTTGCTTTTTGTTCCTCTGGAAAACCAGCAGTTGCTGCTTTAACGCCAAAGCCAAACCAAGTGGGTTTGTTTACCACCACGCTCCTTTGCTGGCTACAAGAGGAGGCTGCGTTTGTAGTGACGGCAGCGGAGGGGATGCCCTGTGCCGGGGGAGCCGGCCAGGGCAGCTGCTGCGGAGCCGCTGTGCCGGACGCTTTTTCTCTGCCTAAGATTTAGCACCTCTCAGTGGCAGAGTGGTGAAATGAGAACACTTGCATGGTGTGAGCTATGCTGTGTGAGAGATGGGGGTGTGGGGGTGTGTGGTGTGTGAAGAGCTGCCATGGAAAATCATTTGGGTCCAACTCTTTTGGAGACGCTTTGCTAGAGGATACAGTTTTAGCACAGCACTTCCACGCCCTGCATAAGCTTGTGCTTCCCTGGGCCCTCGCAGCGATTTGCACCTCACCTGTCTCTGTAAATACAGCGGGACTCTCCTGCCTCCTTGGTTGATCTCAGAGGTTCACAAAGGCTTTTCCTGCCCTGCACGACCCGTTCCTAATGCAGGTAAGTGGTGGGCTGCGACCTGGTGGTAGCTGGAGCAAAGACCCACCCAGCCCTTCTGCTCATGTCTGTGCTGGAGTCCTTGCTCCTGAGCACCCAATACCCTGTCCCTTTCCATTTGTTGTCTGTATCAGTTTTTCTGTCTGTCCCTCTCCCCCTTTTTCTGGGTCCCTCCCCTAGTAGGACACTGATGTGCCCAACCCGTGAGGGCAGATCCAGAGCCAGCAGAGAACAAGCCCCCTCCACCTTCTGCACGGAGCTGCAAGGGCACTGACCATGATGTGCCTCCAGCCCATCCTGGTTAAGCAGAAACCAGTGTGACTCTCCTCAAGCTCTAGGCAGTCCCGTTTCCCTTTTTTGCAGCCTTTTTTTATGCTCTAGGTTAACTTCCTCATGCTAAGGACAATTAAGTAGTTCCTTTCTACTTGCTCTTAGCTGCCTGCTGAGTAATTTACAGCCCGTGTTAAGAAAAGAGAACAACATACAGCTACCCTTGATGGGGGTTTGTGTCAGGCTGAGCCTCATTTGCCACTCCTCAGGGCCGAGCAGGGCTCTGCTCACGGCCATGACAAGGCAGAGGACAGACTGATGCCCAGGGACAGCTTCAAGGTCACTGTGGATGCTCTTGAGCACACAGCTGCAGTCTGTCACTGACCTTGACTGCTAGAAGTTAAAGATGCAGTATTTTTATTTTAAGTGTCCCAAGATATTCAAGTTTTTTAAGAGTCAGTCTGGTTTTCATCGTTGCTCCAAGCAGCTTTTGCAATCCAGAGCCTGCTCTATGACAAGGTGAAAACTGCTGACCTTAGAGTTAGTATGTCAGGCTAGAACATAAGGATTTGCTATGAGAATACATAAGAAGAGCTATCTATTAGCTGTGCATCATTCCTACCAGCAAATTCATCTGCAAAACACCCAAAAAACTCAGAGCAGTTTTGATATAATTTATTTGTCTTGGTCTTTTTTTTTTTCTTGCATAGGCATAAATTACAATCTGTTGATTAAAAAATAAAATGAACAAAACAGTGCAGCATTTGCAACAGGCTACAGCATCAAATACAAACTTGTCTCCTGCCTGTAACCATCTGTTTCTGCAGGGCTAGTTCATAACACATGTGTAGGGCAAACCAAGGAAAAGAGAGAATAGAGGAGGGAAAGGGAGTAAATAAGGGAAATCTGCTCTGACAGCTGTTCTGCATTTCTCCTGCCTCACCAGGCTCATCTTCTGCATCAGCACAAGGATTAAATACCCCTGGGCAGCGATGCACCGTGCTGAAGCAGCAGTTTTATGTGCCCTCTCTTCCTTTGCAGCTTGAGAAAGCACTACAGCAATACTGCGAGCTGCTGCTGGCGCTGGGCAGCTGGCTGGGCAGCTGGTACTGATGCAGAATTTGGGAGCTGAAAAACCACATGTAACCTAAGCATGTCTTCTTGGGGATCCTCATGTAAGGCCTCTGAAACCAGCACTACCCTCTAGAGAAAAGTATAAACCCCCTGGGTGACTTCTCACTTATGTTTCCAAGGGGTTTTACCCACAACAGGAGAGACGTTCATCTCCAAAGGACAGTGCAAGCTCACCCTGTAAAGCCAAATGCTCCCTGCCCCAGAGCTAGTGGTTAACACCCCCACAGAAGGAGCAGAGACCCTCCTCCAACTCCCTTCCTGGGGAAAGAGCTCCCCCTTTCCCACCTCTCATCAGCACACCTCATTTAGCAAGAGATCATCCACCCTGATGGCCCAACCCACAGGCCAGGGAGCCAGAAGGGAGATGAAAAGGGGTTTTCCAGCCTCATGGTTATGGCATTTGCTCCAGCAGCCAAAGAACCCCTGGGGAAGGGGGTTCATCTCTGCTCTCTTTATCATTCAATTAAATACAGGAGCTGCTCTACCGAGCCCAGGACAGGTCTAGGCATTCATAAAAGCACAACTCTGTGTGCAGGGCACTCACGGACATGACTCCAAAGCAAGCAGGCAGCTGTAGACAAGTTTAAAATAACTTTGGCTGCGGATGCCAAGAATTAAGACTACGCTCAATATAGGAGAGAATTTATCGTCACTGGATCGGGCTGCGTGTCTGCTTTCTCCCGGCAGCAGGGCCTCCTAGCTCTACAAGGAGGCTCCATGGGGAAATTTTAACCTGACGGAGAAGGGGCTGTGCCCTTGCTTGGAGGAGACCCCTCCAGAAGGGCTGTGCTGCCATCATCCCCCTCCCTTCGGGCTCTGCCCAGCATACATCAGGGCGTGCTGAAGGGAGACACTTCTTCAGCCCCTTCCTCTTCTCTCCTCTATGCCCCTCATCCTACAGAGCTTCAAGCAGAGACCAGAGTGGGAATCAATTTGTGGTGCTCCCCCCGGCGCTCGCGGTGCCAGGGGAAGACGACGCCAGCATCGGACAGGGCTGAAACACTAAACAGGAGCCCTTTAGCTTTTCTTTCAACAAAACGCAAGACAAACATGGAGGTTATAAACACCATCCACGAACATAAGCTAAACTAAGTGTGCTGCAGGCAGCCAGGAGGTGCGGTGGCCAGATGGCCCTGGCACTCCTCAGCCCAGGGAAGGTCCCCACACATCCTTCCTGCGGTTCCCCGCCACAGGTCCCCTCCATCACGTGATGGTTACAGGCAGGATTTACATGCCTGCTGAGCCGTGCCAGCGAGGAGAAGGCAGGAGGGAAAGGGAACCCTTCCAAAGGAAAGCAGATCAGCCCATGCCAGATATCTGCCATGGGGGACCGGGAGGTGACGGAGGCAGCCCTGAGCACCGCAGGTGCCGGAAGGCCCTGCTGCCCCCCCCGGGGCGAAGCAGTGTGGTGGCACCCACAACCCCCAGGGAAGGCGCTCTCCCTTCTGCCCCGTCTCCCACCCAAGAGCCCACCGAGGCACAGAGTTGTGCCGAGCACCAGGGCAGCAGCTCCTGCTCGCTGCAGTCGCCTATGTACAGATGTGGCCGTGAGCCAGAGGCCACAGTCACGTGTTGCAGTCTCAGAGCAAGAAGGGCAGGAGGGCCTCCGGCACCCCAGCAAGCAGCAGTCCAAAAAGAACCTTGTTTCCCGGGTCCAGCTACCAAGCCACTGATGACCCTTATTTTAAACAGTTCTGCTTATCTTATTCTAGCTTATCCTACTTCACGCGCTATTCTCCTACTAAACAAAGCTCTACTCCTCTCTGCATCTAAGCCACTCGCTTGAGCGGCACCACATAACATTCTCCGGTTAAGTAGAAATTGCATGGAAAAAATATTTTTTCCTTTGTTACTACCAAAAAAAAAAAAGTCCCCAACACCCCAACTGGAAAATAACCCCCCTCCCTGCCCCCCTTAAAAAAAAAAAAAAAAAGAAAAAACAAAACCAACAAACAAAAACCACAGAACAAACCCAAAAGGGGAAGCAGGCGACAGGAGTTTTCAATAACATCGTCAAGCTTAACACCGGGGAGCCGGCCACCCCGGGCGGGGGGGGGCTAACAGCATTGAAAAAAAGGGGGCAGGAGGGCTCGAGCGAATGGATGGCAGCACCAGGGCGGGCTCTGCCACCAACGCGTGCTGAATTTCTCCCCTCCTGCTGCCCCAAACCGTTAGTTTTATGGTAATACTTTATTAATACTGTCTTATTTCCCCTCTGCCAGCCCAGCATCAGAGGTCTAGAGATCTTTACCTAAACCAACATCAAGGCAGGAGAAATGACCCTGTGTGGAGGGGAGAGACTCGGTGGGCATGACCGGTGGCTCCCCCCTACTCCCG